CTACTCCTTTCGATTGTGAATGGAATGAAGCGATTCATTTATGTTTGATGCCTATAGACTGAAGTCCACTGAATGTCAGATTGACAGTTTATGAGTTTCAAAACAAAGGAAATCTATACTATATCGCAGATCAAGCTGAAAGGCACAGCATTATAGCGCCGTGGTTTGGTCGCCCTTGGTATTGTGACAACTAGTAATTTTTTTTTCTACTACTGAGCTATGTTCTTGATGGAAACACAACGTAATATCCACCTCGAGGAAAAGAGCTGCAACACAGTTTTTCATTATATCCAAATATAGCGCACTTGTTTGCGCAACACATTTTTGTACGGAAATAAAAATATGTACATTCAACGATAAAATATATGAGGCGGGGTATGTTGGTGGCAGCCTTGATGTTTTCAAACAGTAGTACAATATTGTTTTTAAACGTGGAAAATGAGAAAGAAGTTGCTGGTTCCGATTCGTGACCAACAAAATTAACATTACACTCTAAGGCATATACGAATTTCGTTTTCTGGAAACACATATATTTGCGTAAGTGAACGGTCTTCTCCCCAGATCTTCCTTAATATGATTTTTAAAATCAATCCAGTCCGTGCCTCCAGAGGGTGGGACTCGCAAGCTCAAATTTTTAAATAGATTTAAGAGTACGGTACCCAGATTGGGATTTTTTGTTTCTAAGACTGTGTCTAAATAAAAACAGACTTTTTAACAAATTTTCCTCCATGTGCTAGAAGTGTCATGCCTGACGGTCATATTTATTCAGTACAACCATACCACTATAATGAAAACTTCGATTCACGACTTAAACTACTCATTAGTCACTCTCAAAGTATTCATTTTTCGTTCGCAAATAACCTCTTAGTTGTAATTATGTGTGAAACAGTATTGATAGGTATAAACTCGTCAGTGACGCTCAAATAAGCTAAAGACAATATCCCGTGAAATTATACTTTAGGTTGATAGCAATCCAAGGGTCCCATAATTGCAAGTGTCCAAAACGGCAAAAAGCCTAAAGGGTGCAAAAAATATTAACCATTGGAGCTTTTCTATGCAATCTGCCTATTTATTCATATTTTTTTATTTCTAAAGCGGCCCTTAATTTCTATAGCGAAGGTCTCGTTGTATCAAAAGTGGCGTACTGAGCTAGTGTGATAAATTTCTAAACCGTTGAAATTTACATTCTAATGGGAATCTTCCGATTGATTTCAAAAGCCACTTGAAAATTGGAAATAACGATACCATAGAATTCGGGCATTAAAGGAAGTTTTTTTTTGTTATTTTGGTAAAGTTTTGTCCAACGCGGAGAGATTGGACAATAGCTCATCTTTTGCGGAAAATTGCGGAAACGTTGCATTGCAGAGCTTACTGTTTTATTTTAGGAATAGCACATTTCTTTCAAACACCAAGAGTAGTGGATCAATTTATGCGCTTTACGAGAAACAACGCAGTAAAATTTGTCGGTATTTAGGCGACATGTCCTTATACACCAAAAAACCCGAGGGCTTCGTTTGCGCCTGTTGCGAGTACCGGACGGTTCTGATGGAATGAATCGCCATATATATTGGGAAATGAGTATAGAGTATTATTCTCGCTCAAGGCGTACATGCACGGTGTTATTGCAAAACGCTGCAAATGACAACATTTCGTCTACTCATGTTACCGTGGCAAAATATTATAATATTTGCGGAGTCTCGTGCGCCACGGAGAATAACGTGGTAGCGGGCCGTAACTGACGATAGGTTCTTCGAGTGAGATGAGGCGATCATCTATTGGCCTTGCGCATTGTGAGTGGTCCACTTACTAAGATAGTTACCAAAAGATTAAAAACAATTTTTGAAACCACGACAATCTCGTTTCCCTGCGGTAATTTTAACGGCCATCGCTGAAGTCATGCACAAACAGCCTAATTCCATTACAGGTATAAGCAGAGTGTGTGTTACTCATTAAGGCAATCGGTAATCTTTTCTTTAATTGCGAAGTCCAGATAACTAGGAATTCTGTTGCGAAGTGTGTCGCGTTAACATCATCCGTTGTTAATTGAACGAGTGGTATACCTTGACATTTCCAGGTGATCTCTTGATGCATATTTTTGGAGGGTTAAAATTCTTGATGAAAATTATCGGAGAGCTTTTTAAGTCGCATGGTATGAGGTGATAGTCCCGATATCTCATGGCTTTCGACGACTTTAGTCCTAAAGTGAATTGAGTCGGCGTCATTCAAAACCCGACTGAACACTTGCTTTTGGAAATATATTGATGCAAGAATTGGTAATATCTCGGGTCGTAAGATTAACACGTACTAATGTACATGATATCGCAAGAAGTATCCATGAGAGTTTCGAATAAAAGGGGCATAGATAACGATAATTTTGCCTCGACTTGTCTCTAGGTGGAAGCAAACATCACAATCCCATATTCTCCTGTGTCACTTAAGAACCGTCTATATGTGAATATAATCACATACTACTCAGCGAAGTCGTGTTGGAGTTCTTTAGCGTTCTCGGCGCGTCGAGAGTTGTTGTGGGGAATGGAGACTGAGGTCATTTTAAGCCCCATTATACTTCGTCAACTTGCCCCGAAGGTATGAGCGTTCGTGGAAGTCCTAAGCGCGAGAGAAGTCACTCAACAGGAAAGTTCCATTCGTGAAATGGAAAGCTCAGTATTTGTGCAGAAGCTTGGCATAACCCTATGTACAGGTCATTACGGTACTGTTCTGTGTCATTAATTTTAAAGATAGTCCTGTCTTCATATATATTCAGTCATTTGACAGAGGAGCATATTTCGGCTTGAAAGTGGCTACCGAAAATTTTCAGGAGGTCTGCGTTGTACGGAACACTTATTACGATATTATGGCATGATTAACGTGTTGCTAGCCCTTTTTGCGGCCAGCGAAATCATCCATCTCTGGGTAACGACGTTCATAAATTAGACAGGTATGGTCTGCGTATAATGTACCTGGATTTTTGGTTGCGTAAAACGGGTCGTAAATGATATGCTTCAGTACTAACCTGCGAAGTTCGGACTTCTGCGCGACTCAGGATTTTCATCTGCACACCTTTACCATACGTTTGTGTTTGGGTTACTCGTTGTGCTAGAGTAAAACGTGGATACGCAGTAGTCTTTTTGGTTTTCTTTAACAGGTGATCGTGTCATCGAGTTTCCGTATAATAATGTTTTTTTTACTAGAACATTGGATCAAATTTAACCATAAACATCGCTGCCATGTGAAGAAGGTACTGTTGGTACGGGTAGCTTGCCTGATGCAGATGGCTAAGTGCACCAGCCTGACTAATAATGCAGTGATACGTGTAGTAGCAGGATCCTATGTAGTTTCCTGTTATGAGAACACCTTCACCGTTAGTGTTTCGGTAGCGGAAACGATGTGCCGGGGCGCTGTGCACAAGTTGCGGCAGCTTTGAAAAACGATTTCTACCTTTCCGGCTTTTGGCGTGTTAACGTGCAACCGTGCACGCGTAGTAGTCGTCGGTCTTAACCAATAATGATACGAATTTGGCGTACGACTTCTTTGCTGCGGAGAGACGAAAACAAAGATTCGCTTATTGGAATACAACCTCTAGCATTTTAGTCTAGACAAAGTACAATGTATAGTCGGCATTCAATAGTAGCTGAGGATTTTAGAAATGTATTTAAAGGTCATTACATGGCTCGTTATGTACTGAAGTTAGCAGACATAATGAAAGGCCTGTTGTTTAATTCAAAAAGGACTGTACGTTCCCTTAGGAAAAAGCCAGCTCACACCTAACGACGTCGTCTGAAAGAACGTACTGTACAAGCGTTTCGGTTCTGCATAGCGCATAGAGCATTCAGGACAGATTAACTTTTTGCTTTACGTTCTACACAGTACACAAAAATGCTTTCCCGCTTTAATGTTAATGTTTAGTGATGGCAAACCTTGTCCGTTGGTCCGACACTTGCGGGTAAAAGGTTAGTTTGGTTCCGTTGGCTTCGGTAAGCGTCGAAAAGTAACAGGGAAAGCGTCATATGAGTCTTAATCGACGGTTATCGTCGAGCGCATCAAAAGGCTGCGTAGCTTGTAAAGTGTGAGGACTCTTCCAGTCAATAAGACTCGGGTCGGTGTCTGGGTCCTGTTGTGGATCGGAATCGGAAAAGAAGGCATATTGATCGGTCAGGACGCTGATCATCATCATCAACGCGTAGCTTGAGAAGTGATTGAAGAAACCATGGAGCGAGTTCTGGACGTTTGCTGCGCTGATCTTCGTGCTCTCTTCACTGCACACTGCCTAAAAGCGGAGGCTCTTGACTAGCGGTATTTCTGCGTTGTGACGCAGGCTGGTTGGCCCCTTGAGCGTTACGACAGCGCGTACAATTGCTCGCCATAGTGATCAGTGGGATTCAGTTTCACTGGTACTGACGAATTAAAAGACAAAATATTTACGGCGCTTACATCCAGCACATTTTTCGTGTCACCTAGTTGGAATATACGGTGGTTCGTTCTCAATACGCTCGTCAGTGATTCATGAATGCTGTATTCATCGATCGCCGCGGGTAACCGTAACGTTATAGGCGAGAAGACAACTTTTCACTTTAGAAACAAAACCATGTGTCGAATAAGTGAACGAAGTTATACATTTGATGATATATCAGCGCGAACGATGCTGAAAGCTGTCACGGTGTTTCAACGTGCTGATGGTGTTGCTGAGTTACTTTCAAACATGTAAACTAAAAAAGAAGTTGCTGCGTGTCTTCACGGCCAACCAAATTAACATTATCTATAATGGAAATCAAACCTTTACCTCTCGGGACATTTCCAATCGACTTCATTTTTCGCTTGGTCTTCCTAGGGCAAAACTATGACCGTCAAAAATCAGTCCAATACGTTAAAGTTAAGAAATAGATTTGGATTCAACAAGACATACTATCTAAGAACTTCAGTAGCTTGTAGAGTAGATAGATAGATAGATTGGGATGACACTTTTAACTTTCTAATTGGTATCACACCCTTTTTAATTTCAGGTAGTTACATAAAATGCAGCCCGGAGCAGGAAGGGCGTGACGTGCCAATCTCTATGATCTCCAAGGATAATCCCTGTATACACTGTAAATGCCAGGTTAGTAATGCTCATATATTGTCTTGCAATGTACGCATTTATTATGCAGTTGTATCTCCTGTTCCCGAACTTAGTATTGAAGTTATATCAGCTTTAGATTAGACAAAATCATGGCGTAGGTATACAGCTATCTAATGTAACTTCAACGTTATACTAATGAGAAATTCTGCTTTATATATGAAATTTCAAATGCCATAAGAATTCGGTTACACTTCGAGTACCGCAAAGATTATCTTTAAGCTCTCCACGTGTTGATCTTAGGTCTCAAATAGAGGGGTATGCTGACCATATGAAATCAAATGGGCCTTACGATAGTATTAAGAAGAAGGTCGATGTAGTCATCAATTCATACGGTCGGCAGTGTTAAAACAATGTTATGTACTGTAAGGTAATGTATTTTATTAGTGGCAAGTAATTATATGTTGACCTCTGTACCATCAATATGATTTTATGTATAATTTGGCGATAATTACATCCTAAGCCTATAAACCTTGTATGAGGCGTAAGAGCTTCTTATCGAACCTTCATGCTCATACTGACGAAAGCTGTTTGTAGGGCAATCTATGGCTGCTCTTTGGAAAAGATGTTAGCTTTTACTAGACTGACAAGCGCGCAATTGGACTGATTTGACCCATTGTTGTTACACCCAGCCTATCGAAAACTATAGCCCCAATATATAGTAATAGGTATCCTTCTTAGTTATCCTATTCTACTTAGCCCGTTCTCCCATTGAAATGTTTTCACAGTCCTGTTCCTTTGGTGCAATTATTGTCTCTAGCTGTTCTAATATGAACCAATTTAATTTAAGACTGGAATAGGAATACGTTGGATCTTTTTTACCTATCCGTTGTTTTTTTTACTTCCACTTGCTAATCGAAAATACTCACTGTCCTTTGTAAATTAGTTTTGAAGGTAATGAACAGAATTTCACATCGACTTTAGACTCCAAAGGTGGAGCTTCCAAATAAAAAGATCACCACGGGTTAGTTGTGAATTGTGTGGAAATATTAATTGTGGTCATATTGAGAAACACCTAAATTATATGAAACATACTCAAACATTAAAAACTTGGGGAAACAGCACAAAGAAACACGACCTATGTCAAAAGAGATTATGGAGCAAACAAACGATATGCTACTGTTTCGAAGTGCCAAAACATTGGATTGCCAAGCGTACTAACGCTAGCCTTTATTAGAAATTATTGATAATTATATTACAATATATTTTAAATGGACTAGCGGTTATAACTTGTTACGATACGTAATTCTCTGTATGAATTTGTAATGGTATACAATAAAAAATAAAGTTTTTATTTGTCCGATAAAGTTCTCTATATCGTTTCGACATTTGTTCGTTTATTTTCTAAATGAATAGTGAATAAACATTTATAATATAAAAAGCTTGCCAATTTTAGACATATGCTCTGTGCTCATTATCGTGTTACTGCTACAAATCATTTTCTGATAGAGTAGTACTAGAGAAGACGCGGTCTTCTGGTAACTGTGTAGGAAAGCTGGATTACTGTTAGGCTCGGTAACTTTAGGTTAGAGGTGCCATAAAGCTCACGCCCGTCTGTACCATGGCCCCCATGAACTTGTTCAAGTCTCTTTCGGCATCTGGTTTCTGCACCTCTTTCTGGTTGCCGATAAAGTTGGACCATCTAAAGCTAAGGACAACGCAAGGCACTAGATCAGAAGGTGAGGTTTTTGGATTACTACATATTAGATTGATGTATAGGCGCTAGGACCTTCAAAGAGATTTTAGGACATTTAAAACTATCTTGTAAAAAGCTGTGGTTTCAATTCTTTAACACTTTTTTTAATGAAAGGTGGTTGAAAAGCTTTCCTGTGTCGCTGCTGGATAGCATCCAAGTTTTCCGCGTGAGTAGCGCATTGAGAATAAGTGCTCCGATAAGCCAACCCTTTACCTGGTTAGCATGTAAGAAGCAGTCAGCGCGGATAGGTTGTCTAATCTCTAAGAAAGCTTAAAAAGACGATCAAGATACACGGGCGTTAACGAAATCATCTAAAGAACAGAGGTGCCGAACACCGTGAAGCCAGATAGTTTTCGTTTATTACCTCGAATGGCTTTCGCAGTCCGGTGTCGCAAACCCAAAACGCTTCATTTGATACTATACAATTGACATATTGATTTGTAAGTGTCCTGCATATACCAGCCGTGTTGTGCTTGGGACACAGCATCATAAACTGGGATAAACAGGGGAGCACGCGGACTCTAAGGAGAAATGCACATATGTAGTAGTCGATATCGTTTGATGATGATTTCGTTAGAACTCTAGTGGCACTTTAGCAAGAAAACGAGTCCTTTCCTTAGAAATCTTGCCGAACGTATTGAACGACCTACGCGGATTGTCATATTATCGGAGCAACTTTAAAATAAAACTGAAAAAACATCTTTATTATAAAATTTTACGTTCTCCGAAAGAAAATATCAATGAAATTGATTCTCGACTGAGAATCAGAAAACGAAATGGATGATACTCAAAAATTGTTGGCTCTTTTTTCGACATAAACTATGTTCATTACGATAAGATAATCTCAGTCTTTTTTATACTTCAAATGACGCAAAAAGCTTGCCAGACATATCGTTTTAGCAAGACAATGTATCCATTCGCAAAACTAATAATGTACACACTTCATTTTAGGATCAGCTCAGTGAGCAGCTGATCTCTATGTGGGTTGACGATGAGTGGCCTTTCATATTTTGTGACATGACTCCGCTCGACCTTTTATTAAAAAGACACTTAAAAAGCAAGGCGTACCACAATAATCCATACAGAGGGTCAACAAACTTAAAGGAAATAACCGTGCCGCCGTTTTAGACATAGAACCAGATGTATGCAAAAAAAAAGTGGCTAAAAACCAAACAACTACAACGGAGAAAGCCAAGAGAGCTCACCTTATTGATGTTGTATCTAAGTGGATCTTGAATATACAGTGATCAAAAAAATATATAAATACATTCAGTTGTTTTTTCTTGGTGTCATTTTAAGGTTGCTTCAGACCAGATGGTCATGCTAACATTACGGGAGACCCCTATGAGGAAGAACAAAGCTGTTTCCCTTAGTAGCGTCGAAGGCAACGCAATCTGTGTAGTCGAAAAATTGGATTCAGGGCTGAGAGAGTCTTAGACACATGTTGACAATCCCAATTGTAATTCTACTTATGTTCAAATAGAGTGATATTCATTTCAATAGAGGCCTTTTAAATGAAGGTGGTTTTCGACTCTTTATAAGTATAAATTATTTAGGTATCAAGATATTCGGAGACGGAAACAGCTAGAACGGATCAATAATCTCTTTGTACAGGGCAGCTGGATTAACTTAGAGCTTTTTGTCTGGCCGCTTGCAGTTCTGCAAATAAATCCAAATGAAACCGCTTACGACATTGCAAATGAGTCTTTGATCGCAGGACGTGTAGAACCAGGTTTCAACAGACAAAGACAGTATGGACCCAAGAGTTAACCAGTACCCTCCAAAGGACATATTGGGCGATCATCCTATTTTTATCAAACTACTGTGGAGAAATCTCATACTACAAAGTGTTCATGAAGATCTTAGGTTTACGTCACATGTAATAAAAACAGGACAGATGCTCTACGAAGTTCATAAAACCAAAAGGTTTGATTGGTGTTGTTTGTTCCTCGGTTCCCCTAAAATAATGCAACAGAACATCTCCGATTTCTATTTAACGAGGAAATGTTTATACTTAATGCAGTGATCAACAACAGAAATGATTACTGGCTTGTTCATACTTTAGAAGATGTATTCATTACGGGTAAGAGCAATTTTTTGTTAGTTTTGTGTGAGATGTCTAATGAAGGACACGCCATGCCATTATATTTTTTTTTTGGAAGGCGAACGTATCATCAAGAAAATTTACCTGTGTGCTCTATAAATTGCTGTGCAACCTTGAATAGCTAAAGTGCCTCAAAAAAGCCTTACGTCTTCCAGCAGTTTTGTTGCAGGGTCGACTGCTTGGATGTTCTCGAGCGGGCACATATAGCCGCCTATGATACAGCTCAGATCTAAATCAACCGACTTGCTTTGTGTGGAGCGCTATAGAGAAAGAGTTCAGTAATGTCGGCTCGTTCGTACTGTCCACAGATTTACAAAAAAAAAAAACATTTAAAACGAGCCTGTAAGCCGTTGAAGTTTCTCACGGAGCTGTAAATATGGTGGAAAAGGCTACATTGAACAAACATAACCATCGGAAATAGCATTCTTAGAGCATGCGAAAATTCTTGCCGCTGTACCTGTTTTTGTCTAAATTAAAGCATAAGCATGAGTTCAGGTTTTCCCCGGCCATCCTGTGTAAGTGTATATGTGTGTGTAGAAAATCACATATATTTAAATTGGGTTATGTAGTTATATCAAAGTTGCATCTTTTGTATAGTTTATGAATCTACGTAAATGAGAGGACAACAACCTAGTGCTTTGAGTGTGTACAGTTTTATGTAAATACATGCTTACTATTTAACGTAGGTTAAAAAGTTATATGTTGCTGGGTATGCCCAAGGAAGTCGGGAAGAGCACTTGCTGGGATAGCTAAACTACACCCTCAAGGCCGGTGCTTTAAGGAACTGTGATTAGGTGAAGCCAGTGCCCGAGGGGTATACGATAACATTGAAATGCAGTTACGACCTGGCTGTCACAGAGGTCGGAGTTGCCATCACTGTACTGAGCTCAATTTAAACAGCGTTCAACGTCTACCGACAAACCTCAATTCAACGCAAAAAGCTTTTTCACCACCCGATTTGCGCTTCTAATCATTTCGAACATATACAGAGAAACTCCTGTAAATGAAGGAAGTTAACCGTTTTCTAAATTGACAAGTAAGCTTCTTGTGCATCTTAAAAATCAAGACATCAACAAAAACTCTTTGACTTCTCTCGTTAGAGACCACCGGAAGATACCGCGCCGACTTGCCAAATATTTACGAACGTGTTTCCATTTACTAGGCCCGAGAATTGTAATAATTTGACGTACCTGTTGAGAGTAGTTTTTAATTAATGAATCAAATGAAATGATTTATTATAGACATAGATTTAGAAACCCACAAGTCGCGTCACATACGCCTGTATAATTAGGCGCCTACCGCACCTTGATACAAAATGAACAATGTGATTTACATATTATATGATATCTTATTTAATACGTTTTTTTTGGCTAAGTGAAGGTGATATTTTAAACAAATACATGAAAAATATGTTTGTGGCCTGCCCAAGGTACGCAGCCTCATATATAGATTAAAATACTTCTGAGATACGTTTAAGATCTTGTAATGCTTACGATTTCGTTTACGTAGTGTACAATGAAGACATACTGTCTACTCAAACTAGCCGATAGAGAAGATATGTTTGAATCACTGAGTTGGAAATTGTTGGGCTCATGCTAAAAACACGTAGAACCTTTTCCATAATTGAACTTTGCTGCCACCAGAAGTTCAGCAGCCGCTTAGTTCCAAGATTCTGACCTATTCGATCTACAGGTTAAAACTTTCCTTAAACATTTTTCAGAAACGTGTAGTAGAATGTCGGCGGGAGACCTGCGAGTTACCGAAGGGATGTTACTTCCTCGATAAGACAACCGGAGCTTCTAGTGACATCAGTGACAGCACCAGTAAGAAGAAGACCTGTTGCCATCAATGTAAAGGTACGTAATCATCTTAGATTCTTGCTCAGGCGTTTGGTAGGATCTCTGACATTTTTATTCTTATAAAAGCCCACGAAGACGATGATGTAAACAAAGTCGAAAAAGATTCAAGGATCTCTCTCTAAAACATATTATTTATGCATCCGTTGAAACCTATTGCACTGCAAGCATCCATTAAGGCATTATATGCTGCATACTAAGTTCAAAAGGATGTAACAGTGGTATTCTTGGTCAATATTAAAACACAAGGTGCTTTAAACGGCACAATGGGTAAACGTAAGATACAATACATATGTGAATATAGTAACTTGCATTGCCTTACTTGAGTGTTTATCTGCGTCATTCTTACTATAGGCTGTGTATTAAACGGTACAGCGTACAATTCCCCCTCTACGTGGACAGAGCCTGGAGATCCTTGCCTAAGATACACCTGCCAGGTAAGTTCGTTCGGCTGTATTCTACTAAAACTACAATTCGTTATGCATTTTTCAGTAATTTGTAATCGATAAATGCTGTTCCAGTTCAACACATAATGAGTGAAACTGTATTTTCTTTTTTGAAAATCCTTTCTATGCCTATTTTGTCTGATGGCGTTAAGGAAGAATCGAGAACTAGAAAAGAAAGCTGAGGCGTAAATCAAATTATAGAATTAACCCCTATTTGCTGAGCTCTCACTCATATTGTTTCCTTATTGAAACTTTTGGATCAATTTTGTGAGCCCTTCTGCTTAGAAGATAAAGGTAGCGCAGTAATGTCGAAATATATGAGATTCCGTCGCGATCCGCAGATGTTCGTTTTGCAAAAGAAGAGTTTTCATCACTTTATGCGTATCGCAGCGCCCACTACGTTTTTAAGATCTGCTCCATAATATGCAATTGTACTCAGGGACAACAAACACAAAGGATCAATTCTGTCCAATATCAGGCAACATGCTCGCTATCGGACTGTCGTTCCACAGAGTCTACTGATGGTCAGCTGTGTGTAAATTGACGGAGGTAATTATCGCATTTGTGCAGGTGGCAAACGTCAAAGCGGACGAGGTGCTGGGAGTACGAGCGTATTCATACATAAACATACCTACACAGAGCAATATATTCCAACGCAGTCCGTTCCATATGCATTTCCTTCTGGCGCAGTTCCCATAGAAATCACAAGGCTTAGACTGGCAATCGCTATTTCAATTCGGACATAATCCATGCTGCTAAAATGTGAATAAAACTGTCAAATACATTTAATGAATTAAAAACTACCGAGGCCGACCGTACGTTTGTGCCACCTATGTAGACCACCATATTAGCTTAGTTGGTAACGTGTTTGTGTTTGCCTGCTAATCTCGTAGACACATTATGATGTAGGCTTTAACTCTACCATTGACGAATTTCGTTTCGGTGTTGGGAGCCAGCTGTCTGGTCGAATGCTTAACGGAGACACCGAATTGAACACTTTTTTTCACCGCCAACAGTAGTTTTTGTAATGCCCACTACTTGGGTAAACCTTATAAACCAGGCTCAGTCGGTCTGTGAAGTCAAACTAAAGTAAAGAGAAGATGACACTCCCAGTCCATCTCCCCTCTTGAATCGATTATCGACATAGACCCGTGAAGATGATTCCATATGTCGATCACCCAGTAATGCATAATAAGAACAGGTTACACCTGCTTACAAGAAACGCTTGTAACTCTCAACGCCTTCTTATGTTTCGGGTTTTACGTCCAGTATCGCCGTTAGGCATTCCATCAAGCGGTTAGCTCCCAGCACCGAAACGAAATCTGCCAATGCCCGGGTTCAAACCTAGACGTTACCCAATAAGCTACCACAGGGGCAATTCTGAATACCTAAGTTACAGAAAGCGGCCTAGAAACAAACAGAGCCCATGAAATGATTCATTTCGCTTTACTAGTACTCAACTAAAACCCATTTATAAGTTGTTCATCTATTTAGACCTCACGGTAGACGATAGAAACGTCTTCGACAAATCATATCTAACGAAGACGCTGTAAGAGACGCCTTAACATGATGACTGTGGCAATCAAGGCTCGAAAGCCAAAAAAACCTTAAACTGTTCAATTTGAAGATTGAGTTAACCACCGCTTGCGGAAATCCGAAATCATTTTTTGAATTTACGGGACCTGATAACACTAGACAGGACCAAGGCGGAGTTTCTAAAGTTAATGATAACTCTGCGCGCATCGATTCGTATCCGTCTAACTCTAGCGTTCGTTTGAACGTTGTTCTGTTCTTCCAATAGTAAACCGTACCGCACGTTCATTGTGACTCACGATCAGAAGATGGCCTATTGTATTTCTTAACGCCAGCAATAACCGATGGGGAGTTAAAGCACCCAAGTAGATCACCATGTTGTAACAAGATTTTCAGTTCGTATGCGGGTCGCAAAGGTGTCACGAAGCAGAGGATGACTAAATCAGTAAGTTTTGTAAAGCTGAAAGTGGTAAATGGCATGCCAATGTATGTAGCCAAATCAGGCCGTTAAACTATCTGGCTAACTCGACTGTGAACTTGAGATTATTTTATTATGATATTAGGCTGTTACAAGCGAATCCGGCGGACTTTGAAATTCAGTAATTTTTGAACTACAGGCCGTTAGCAGTTTGGCTGGTAGATACTCCAGTCATCTGGAAACGTGATTTTTCGTTTTCAAAGGTTTTTTTAAGTAATCTTGTCGGCCATTCCAAGTATATTCTGATTGTGTTGTTGTTGTTAGCCCCTTCACAGCTGGTATTTGATCTTCCATATCAGATATCCTTTCGTCATTCTAAAGAATAAGCCAAAGCAGTAATTACACCCAGTACTAACAGGTAAAAAACGAATATATGTATGTATATAGGGTAACGCAAAATTCGTATTTTTTGAAAATTTACTGAGACTAAACAGTACAGCCTTATTTTCGGTATCATTATATTGCCTTAACGTTAGCTTACATACTACATTAATCAGAACTAGCTAACACATTACATTTACTAAATCAAATCATTATTTATATTTCAGTCCGGAATCGTAACGAAGTCTCGTGAAGTCTGCCACGTTCCGTGCCAAAATCCCTTAAGTCCAAAAACTGGCCACTGTTGCCCTTCATGCAAAGGTAAGATAGGGTAAACCCAATTCAGAATCTTTTTATTAAACTTCTTGAGTCTTGAAAGAATAAGTCCCTCTGACAAACAGCTCTATAGCGGTTTGAATTTTTTTGTGTCCTTCTTTGTTGATGACAAAATGGTGCCATGAAAATGACATATCTGGGATAAACGGGTTCTATGACGAAAAATATAACAGGGTTTACCCATAAGCTGTAACGTAAATTAAGGAAAAATTACTTTCATGGACCGTTACTATAAATATTACGAGCATTCGTTCTTTCATTCACCAAAGATGGGTGAAAACTATTTTTTCAAAGCCCCAGTGGCAATACTATGGCTTCTTTTTGTACCTTGCGAGCAAATGATATAATTACGGTCAAACTGTTGGCTTTCCTGCCTTTAAGATCTTTCTTAGTAGATAATTTAAATTTTTACTGCAGCGGCTAATATATAGCTGTATAGGTAGCTCGCGGGGCGTCTGAGTTGGACTCTTATCCAACAGAGCTTTCAATTCATCTTCAATTGCTCGTGCGGCTGTCTAGAATGTGCTTTGTGGTTCAAATTGAGATATCCACCTAAAAACAGAGGCAAATGTCGGGTAAGCGCTACGAAGTATTGCCAAACTATACATTCCCATAGGCAATTTTTATTGATCCAATTGTACCCAGGCATAGTAAAAAAAGGTCGTATTATGTATGCAGTTTTTGATACTGTCGTTTGATAGCATAGAAAAGCGTCCAAATGACAAGGTTTAAGAGGTGCCTAAATACCTTTCGACTGTCCTAATAATTAGTCGTTGCAGGGTATGTGTGTTAAAAATGATTACTTAACCAACCACACAGGCCTTTTTCTATATTATAATAAATAATAGGAACAAATCAATGCTATCAGCTTATCGATAGTCTTTATCTGCTTTTTTTTTTTCACATTACAATTATATTCGAAAATACCTCTGTATTGTTTGGATAAAGTGGATTGTCTTTTTAATAGCATCGTAACGCTGTTGCCATAAATTATTCCCTGTTGATCTTTTTCACTATCCCACCTATGTTTCGTATACCAGCGCTTTAAACAAATTTAGAATACTTTGTCAATAGGTTAGACCACTGTTGATGAAGGCAGTCGAGAACGCGTGCATCCTGCATTCTTCTGTCCATCAACAACTTAATTGTGATAGTTCAAGGCCAGACTGAAGGTGACCATCCCGATTCGTGGTCTGTATAAATTAGTTTCATGTGTGAAGCTCAAAGAGAGAGGTATGCACGTACCTAGACATGGTTTTACCTTGATATATATAAGACAAACATTACGTTCATCCGAGCATTGCTGGCGACTATACCTCATTCTTGCAGTCTTAGCCGTGCAAAATATAGTACGGCGTCTGTATAGTAAACTGCTGTAACTCAGCCAATGCGCCTTTTCATTTTAAATTGAAATGCGCTAAATCTATGCATTTGTATATAATAAATGTAAACGTAAATGTAGAATAACGTATGTAAGAACAGGCGGTTTCTATTGCATATGTTGCATGTATATGCAGAAATAGAGAGGGTTAATAATAATCGAACTATTTAAAATGTTTGCGCAGTGGGTGGCCGCAAATATCGGGTATCTCCTTTTATAAGGATTTCGCACAGGAAATGTTAATAGAGAGCTAAAGAACATTACGCGAGGTTTCATTCAGCTTCCTCAAGATGTCGTTTTCAGGCCAGAGTTTAACCATTTTTTTCTATGGTAGAATTACCAAAAGAACACAAAGAAATACACTATCCACCTGCATTTTGCTTTAAATCACTTAAATTCTCGATGCGATGCTGCGTATGTACTAGCACCGGCAGCTGCCGTTTAGTGGGGAAACGTCTTGGTTATGAACCTTGCGCAAGAAGTTACTATCCGTAATCTGCCAGGTCGATGGAGCCACGTGGGATCTAGTGTCGTCAAGATCACCCCCTTTTGTCTTAGTTAATCAGTCAGCTTCATGTAACTTAAAAACGCTTTGGCGCCAGTCGAGGTCTGTATTCGCGGTTTCACTCCGTTTTACAAGCTTACAGTAAACCAGCTTTCTAGAACTTCACCAAATATTTTGAGGTGCCAGTGAAGAGCTTGCCCTGTAGTAAAACATGCATTATTTATCTCCGGTACCGATCTGACGTGGAAATGATTTATCGCCTCGCCGTGCAAGCAGTGATATTCAAATTTTTAATAGCAAATGGCCGTAGTACATTCGCGAGCTATTGCATGGGGGCTCTACCTTTCTGTGTTTGAAGTCTTCTTTAGAGCTACCAGATGATTCTCCAGCTCTTAGCTGGTCGAATCTTCACGTAATAAAACCCGCGGTTCATCGTCATCTGATTCTTGCAATCGTCCGGAGTAGCGGTTCGTGTTTCAAATCTAGATTTACTGCTCAAAAAATGAGTAGTCTTTTGGGAAGCGCTGTTAGATACTACTGATTTCTGCTCTGTTTCACACAAAGTCGACCTTGTTTCAGCCGTTATTGAAAAAACACGAGAGTAGTAAGAATGCTTTCTAGTATCCCATACAAGCCTAGCTAAAATGTAAACAATACAGTAGACAGAGCATTGTTCAGAGAAACGTTATGTTACTGAGTTTATAATTAAATGGGTAAGTAGATGTGAGGATATACGTATTGCCTCCTGACTGATCTAAGACAACAATGCTTTTAGTTGTAACCAAACAATACTTACGAAAGACTATTGGTTAAGGAATACAATCTAACGTCAACGTTTACTGTTTTATACGTTCTTGGTCTCCTTGTTTCCTCAGGCTGCTTGCTAAATGGAATAAACTATGCCGGAGGAGAGATATTTGAGGCTCCAAACGATCCTTGCCTAAAATGTATATGTCAGGTAAGATCTAGAACATCTCGTTATTACTTCAAAATGCCTCGATCGATCCTCATAGCGTAAAATTCTAGATATAAAATAATAAACCTGATCTCAGCAATATCATGTCGAAGTTAGCAAAGTAAATGCGACTATTACATACGTTTGTCACTTCGTTTCAGCTATTCCGGTATTATTTGATTGTATGAATACTATATTCTATCTCAGGTTTCTTTATTTCAAGTATTACTATATCTAGTTAGGCCACTGTTATCCTGTAGCATTTATTTTGTGATCGAATTCATCACGGTGTCTATTTAGCCTTGTGATACTGACCTCAATTTCATAGATATCAACAGCTGTACAAAGCTGTTTTTTGCTTTTCTACTATATCTTATTTATTACTTTGTTGAGCAAAGTGACCTTCCAACATTATGCACTATTTATTACTTTGGCAAGCGCAACAAAAATTCAGTCTGCGGAACACAACTTGCTCAAGTTTTTTTTTTGATATTGTACTTTGAATGCCAGCCCTCATTTTAGTTCTACAAAAAGATCTTGCATAATGTTAATTAGTATTTTCGCTTGCTTGTTGGCTACTTTAAACATTCATTTAAGCCAACTCATTTCTGTCCTACACAAGAGTATGGTAAAGAAATACCGCTATTGATTCGAAGTACGAAAATAAAGCGCGTCAGTTTTGAGCTCTTTTATATTCATGTTTTGCCGTGTTTATGTGGCAAGTATTTTCGAAATTATTACTCTGGTATTATTTTTCTCACAGTCTGACCGCATCGTTAATCTGTAATCTGAAAGCTTCCAATACCTCTTTCAACCAGTTAGCAAACAGCCAGCCTTAGAGAAATGAGAATTACCCTTTCATTTTGAGTGCGAAATGTCTCTGAGCCGAGAATATTTATGAAACTACGAACATTTGAGATGCGTTCAATTTATGCAACATCAAATCGTAAAACAAAGGTCTGTTTATATTTGTTTTCTTTCGCTTCGAAAACGAATGGCTGAAAATATATTAACTTAGGAAGCAGGAACCGGCATTACGGAGAAATGATTCATTTGTTTTGTTTGTGCATCCTTTTTTCGACCAAACCGTTTGACCGCGCCTCAAATACTATTCCCTACATTCGAACACCTCTGAATGGATCAGACTCCTGTAAATGGCATCGGTTTAGTAAATATTAGTTTTAACGATAATGGCTGTTTATACTGTGTCACTCAGCCGGCGAGATTTCTTACAGCACAATGGGCAAAACACATGATTTGCAGTAACTTTTTTACAGTGCAACTGCTATTATTTCACGTAGGCTCCCTAGCTTAAAAAGCTTAGCCTCCTAGTTTCTATCTCTCACAAACTGGGCAGTGACTGAAGGGGTGTTTTGCAGGGCTGCTTTCCAAAATCGGTTTTTCTAATAATTTTTGCGTTGTGAATGCATAATGTGAGTCGGCATTCTTTTGTTAAAAACGTGTATCGCGTAAACCCACCGCGTCCGGTTTTGGCTACAGAAGGACCATGTGTCTGTAACGAGAACTATAATATTAGTTGATCAAAGGAGACCGATGTCACCTTCTACCCAGAATACGAATACTTTACTTCTATGTAGCGAAAGTAGTATGGGGGTTCTCATACATGGCCGCTTTATTTGTTCACTAGTCCAATTAGACAAAAATGAGAAACGACTAATTTTTCAGCAAACTAAGATCAATCACTTAGAAGTGACGATTCCTTCTCTGTCTTCTGTAGGTTTAAGTTTTTATGTTGACAAAATCGAAAAAGATCCGAGGTTTTCGTGTAGCATGCAGCTGCTAGTATTGTTCGATGCGTCGGGCTGTCGCTGTTGATTATCAATTGAGGTATTCGAATCCCTTAACATGTCCTTTATTACGTTCTAACATTAACGGCTACCTCCGAGAGTGCGTTTCCATGACCTAACAAGTCATGCGATGCATGGTATCCGTAGGCATGAAGGTACAGTTAAAAAAAAAAATTCGATGAGCTTAGTTATTCGAATCCCTGTGAACACTATCTTGTGTGCATCCGCGATGCTGTAGCACGAACATATCAATCAAGCTCACGCATCGAGAAAGAGCCTAACATGTGTTGGTTTACGTAACTATAGAAGAATGAATTTACTCCACGTCGTTGCACAAGCGACAATATTGTTTTCAGTGGGATGATTAAATCAACAGGTAATGGGTCGGACGAGTTAGTTAAAAAGTTTGAGGAAGTAGGATGTTTTTCCTTTTAAATAACTGAAAATTGCCCTTTGTTAATGTATAACCGCCAAAAAACAAGTTGTTTACTTCCTACGATTCACTCCAGCTCTCATATCCTATCGGCTGCCAATATTCGATAAGCGCGCTTTTCCCCTCCCGTTTCTCCTTGTTTCCTATATTGCAATTGTTGTAAGCTGGCCCTTAGTTTGTAGATATAAAATGCACATATTTCAGAATGTGTAATACATATGTGATAATATCCTGTATATATTTAAATACGCTTCATATATACATAACTCTCAATAGATTACTGCTCATAATGTCGGCTTGCTGATTTAGTCTGTCCGTTTGTATTACCATATGTTACCCTCGTGAATTAGACAATATCCGAAGCTGGTTCAGCGCTGCATAATTATACGAGAGGGTGAAGCTGATGGTATGAGAGCTTCATGACATTGTTCAAGCGTAAGCAAAATCACCCGAACAAAATTACCTTGTGTCCGACAAATCTATTTTTGTTACCGTGACTCTTTTTACAATTGTAAGAATTAGAATGCAAGATGCCTGCAGCTTGAGCCAAGCGTTTCTTGTTTTAAATGTCTTCGTTTGCTCACAAGCTGTTATTTATTAGTTGAAATAACTTCGTTTATACTACGGGTACGCTGCAATTAATTGAATTCACCCGCATTTGTACTTTAGCACGTAAATACAATTGATGTATCGTAAGGTAGAATGCTTGAAAACGAAGCAGTCCATTGGAAGGTGAAAACAAAAAATGATTAAAGAAAATGTTGATATTAAATTAGGCCATGGTGGCTTCAATAACACTTGAAGCAACAGCTTAAATTTTTTTAACTTTAAAAAAAATGCTATATAAAAACAATTAGGAAGTTGAAATAATAACTAGAAATTGAATGGGGCCGCTGGGCTACTTTTAATGACAAGTAGTGCAGTTTGTACATGAAATCTATAGGTAACGAACATGATACCAGGAAGAAGAAATGGACGTGTAGAAAAGAAAGTTGTCTGGTATATAGTAGTAGCTACAAAACGAAACATGGTAAGAATGAAGTTACGTATAGTAGTGCGTGAGCCTCGGAATCGGACAGATGTGCTGGATACAAAAACTGCAATAACAAAAGCGTCGCGAAGGAGAAGCAGAAACATTCAAATATATTGTGATAGACTGGAGACTTTAGATTTTGGTGAGGACGTCAAAAAGTTATCGTCTGCTTGTCTCTCTGTCTGCCCGACCTAAATCGACTCTGTAAAGGGTTGAGTTGCTATTCTAGATCGATAAAGTTTCATCCAAGCGTGAGATAGGACCATTGGTATGATTTTTCTCGAACGAGTTCGTTCTTCGGTAAATCAACTTTTTCGGGAAATTATTCTTTGACAACCGTTAGGAATTTATCAAACAATAAATTTTTATCGGTATGTTTTTCGGTATAAACGGTATAATGCTGATTTAGATAAATCGTTTATTTAACAACCGTTGACAGTTTATTCAAATTATTATGTGAAACATTAAGTTTCAAACAAAAAAAGGCGCAACATGCGGTTTTCGTTCCTTCTCGTTTGCTAAATATTATTGAGATTTAAAATTTTTATTTTTTTTGCTTAACCATTTGAGCTATATTTTCGATATATAAATCACACATGACATACAATTTGCATTAATAATACCTTTTGGGGGCATTGTTTTTCTAAATCAACTTAGCTCATTTGGGAAAAGGGAGACGAAATATTAGTTGGATCATATTCTTTGATTGCGTAAATAGTTTTTCCAAAGGGTAGGATTAATTGAAATGGGAAAACGGAATAAATGCAGTAACGTGTGGTTACTACAGTCACGCTTCAATGGGACTAACATCAGGGAGATCTGTGGCCGCGCACACGGAGTTTAGCTTTACACGTAAAAGGATCGCAAAATTTCGTTATTTCGACAATTTTTCAATATCGCGGCTTCTGAGGTATACCGATAGGAAAGCGGTCCTTTCAATCATTGAAACAAGATAGTAGAATAGCCTCACTAAGATAAGAAAAGGTATGAGTTTGAAACCGCACTATGTTTGGCTCAATCAATAAACCTATAACATTTATAGGGCAAAAGTGAGAAGAGGCAAAGATGAAAAATGATCATCTTCCATTTGTCAAAGTTGCAAGGGGTAATGCAGTAATGAGCGGACCTAACTATGTGTATACAATTGCTACTGAATTGATACTGAATACTACATAAATGTTAGTCAATAAAATCATTTGAAAGACCGTAATAGTCGTTGTTGTGGTCATCAGTTTGGACCCTTATTAACACTATGATATCACAACATAGCTTGAGCGTAAATTGAATCGTTCTATATTGCAATAGTTTGCGATTTCCGTGCTACCTTAGCAAGTGAAAAGACCTGTTTTTTTTTTTTTAATTCCGCATAATATATATTGTTACAACGCGTAGCAGTAATACATTAGATCCTAGCCATTTTCGTTACTATCATTGTGTAAGGCTGAGGTACTGAATTGAGGAATAAGGTGCATGTATGATAGTGCCAAAGCGTCGTTCGTAGGTTATTGAAGAAAAAATATTGACTGTCGCTCTAGCTAGATGGCCACGTATTTCAGATTATACGAGAGGTCTCAAGTTAGCCTTGCTAAACTTTAACAGTAAGTGATGTTCTAAAATTGTCGGAATGCCTTTGTGTGGAGCTCAAGGCGGAGCGTCAAAAAGTCGATATATGTCACGATTTTATTACGACAGAGGCATAAATGCTACTGTAAAAGCGACCCAAAGATGA